ATCCCACCCCTCTAGGTGGTCGCAAAGCACCGAGCTGATCTCCCTGTGCTATGCGGCTGCATCCCACTAGCTATCTATTTTACATTTGGTAGTGTATATATGTCCATGCCACTCTCTCACTTCATCCCAGCTTACCCTTCCCCCTCCCCATGTCCTCAAGTCCATTCTGTATGCCCCAGCATTCACTTTAAATCATGGGTTACAACCCATTAGCGGATGACAAAATCAAGTCCATGGGCCTCAATCAGCACTTTCACTTTATTACTTTAGTGAAATAGAATAGAATAGAATAGAATAGAAAATAGCAGAACGCATTACACATAGCAAGGGTAAATATTGTTTTGTGAAACTTTCATGTCAGTTAAATGTGTGGGTGAGATATAAATATATTTCTTACCTTGGTCACTCTAAAGAACTCAAGCTTAGGGACAGGGACACAACCATGCAGAAAGAGCAGGGAGACAGACACTCTGGATCGAGATGACGAGTTTTAATGACACAAATGACACCCACAATCACACTTGGCTCTTCAGACAACTTGATCTTTGGGACTCGAACTTGTACAGAGTAAAGCAACACACAGGAGCACACGAGTGACATGGGCAATACTCCTGCTTCCAGCGAGGGGGCAAGACATCTACATTTAATCATCAAAGTACCTTTTTATTCTTCTCAAATAAAAGCCTTAATTTGCTCTGGCCTCCAAACGGGCTCTAATCCCAGATCCCCATTTCCTTTCAAGAGATGTTCTCTTCCCGTGGGGCCAGCTTAAACAGAAATCACCTCACCAGAACAGCTTTTCTGTCCCTCAGTAGTCTCTAATCTAGTTGTGATGTATACAACCAGGTTTGTGCAGGCAGGGAATACACGAGACAGAGGACCGCTTTGGTGGTGCTTGTTTGGGTGGTGTTTCTTCACTGGATTTTGGTGACTGCTTCATGGATGGAGCTGGCCACATAATCTAGGTTTTTGGTGGTTAAGCCACACATGTTGATCCGACCACTTGGCAGCAGATAGATGTGCTTTTCATTGACCAGATACTCAACCTGCTTGGCTGTTGAAAACCAAAAGAGATACATAATCAGAGCAGTAGGAATCCTTTAAGTAATGGAGGTCCAGAGAGTCCATTACAATGACAATTTCCTTTCTTTCCCCTAACACAGAGAAGCAAAACAATAGGAGTTATTTTGTCCACCTGACACAGTGAGAAATACGCTCAGCAGATTCTGGAAACTACTCTTATGAGCTAACTTCCTAATCCCCAGCAAGTTTAACATGGTTCTTCCTGATGGGAATTTTAATCTGGGACTACCTCCCAACCAAACCTTGGAGGTTACATTCACCGGGACACCCTATCCACTCAACCAAACCCATAGACTTAAGAACAATCCATTGATATGAAAAACTGGTTAAGAAGTGCTTTGTTTATCTCTTCCTTCACCTGTATTTGTTTAAGCCTGAGCACCCAGAGCAACTTCCCTTTGACATTTCATTTTCACAGTACATTGGACAAGGCCCTGAGATGAGCGTTGCTGGATAAATGCTGTGTGTGTGAACACGCAGGCTGAACACTGCAGAGACCTCTCGGGCCTGGCGCATCTCAGCTCTCATTCACACGCACACACGCACAGGAGGGTTTTCCCATGAGTTTGCAGAAACGCTGCTGTATGAAATGGGAAGGGACTGCCTGTACTTCCCTTCTGCCACAATCTCTAGAGCTTTTTTTGCTTTATTGCAAAGCCATGAGAGAATTTTAGCTGATTTTTTTCCCCTAAGTAATTAGCACCCTTAAGGCACCATCAATTTGAGGGATCAGGATAATAATAATTGTCATGGACTGAATGTTTGTGTCCCTCCAAAATTCATACTTTGAAACCCTAAGCCCCATTGCGATGGTATTAGGAGGTGGAGCCTTTGGCTGGTAATTAGGTTTAGATGAGGTCATGAGGGTAAGCATGCATGATGGGAATAGTGACCTTTATAAGAGGAGACCAGAGAGCTTGCTCATGCACGAGCTCGCTCTCTCTCTCTCTCCCCCTCACCTCCTCCCTTCATGTGAGGATGCAGCAAGAAGACAGCCACTTGCAAGCTAGGAAGAGAAACCCGACCAGAACCTGTTGATGCTGGCACCCTGATCTCAGACTTCCTAGCCTCCAGAACTGTGAGGAATAAATTTCTGTTGTTTAAGCCACCCAGTCTATGACATTTTGTTATAGCAGCCCAAGCAGACTAAGACAGTAATAAAATCATAATCATCACAGGAGCAAACATTAGGTGCCAGGCAGTGTTCTAAGCACTTTATATTAGCTCAGTTAATCTTGATAATAACCTTATCGCCCCCATATTACAGATGGCATAGATGGCAGTTAAATGACCTTCCCAAGGTCACACAGCTAGTCAGCTGTGAATCTGGAATTTTAAGGTAGGCAGTATAACTCCCGGCTCTCAGCTCTTAGCCAGGATACTATACTGCCTCCGTATGGAAGTGAAAAACCTAGACCCTGTACTCAGTGCTACCTTTGGGCCCCTCCAAACAAAGCCACCTTCACAGTAGCCCTGATCAGCTTTAACTATGTGAATTACAGCCATCCAAGGAGAGAGCGCCTAACCTCAGACATCAACAGAGCCACGGGCACAGCACCTTGTAAAGCCTATGCCCCAGAGGTAGATGTTGTGGTTACAGGGCTCCCGCCCCGTTTTCTTAAATAGAAATGAAACTCCTCTACTTTTATGGGGAAAGGGAGTATCACAGTTGAGAAGCTAGTAAAAGTTAGGGACTCTTTCCCTAGAAAAAGGCCAATATAGGCATACCCAATTTTAAAAATATTTCAGGATGAAAGCCCCTGTTCTGATAGATAAAATGTAGAAAAGGAAGTACCACAACATGAGAATTGTAGAAACTATGTGGCGGGCACATGGGGTTCAAGTCCTCTAACTTTTCTGTATGTTTAAAATTTTTCCTAATAAAATGTCGGAAGGAAAAAAAACAAACCCTGTTTTTAAAAAGGGTAAATAATGCCAAGTTCTAAAAGTATAACTTTATGTTATAAGCCCAGGTCTATTCTCACCACTTTTCAATTCATAATAAAACTAATTTCCTACTCTGGAGAGTGGGACAATACGGATACTTCATGGGAAGACATCCCCACCTTGTGAGCTTTTAGAATATTACTACTCACACGCACCCCAGTGTTCACTGCAGCACTCTACGATAGCCAGGCCATGGAAGCAACCTAAATGCCCATCGACGGACAAATGGATAAAGATGTGGCACATATATACAAAGGACTATTACTCAGCCATAGAAAGGAACGAAATTGGGTCATTTGTAGAGATGTGGGTGGACCTAGAGACTGTCATACAGAGTGAAGTAAGTCAGAAAGAGAAAAACAAATATCGTATATTAACACATATATGTGGAATTTAGAAAAATGGTACAGATTAACCGGTTTGCAAGGCAGAAATAGAGACACAGATGCAGAGAACAAACGTATGGACACCAAGGGGGAAAGTGGCGGGGTGGTGGTGGTGGGATGAATTGGGAGATTGGGATTGACATGTATACACTAATATGTATAAAACAGATAATAAGAACCTGCTGCATAAAAAAATAAATTAAAAAAAAAAAGGGCTTCCCTGGTGGCGCAGTGGTTAAGAATCCACCTGCCAATGCACTGGACATGGGTTCGAGCCCTGGTCTGGCAAGATCCCACATGCCACAAGCAGCTAAGCCCGTGTGCCACAACTACTAAGCCTGCGCTCTAGAGCCCGTGAGCCACAACTGCTGAAGCCCGCATGCCTAGAGCCCCTGCTCTGCAATAAGAGAAGCCACCACAACAAAAAGCCCATGCACCGCAACAAAGAGTAGCCCCTGCTCTCAGCAACTAGAGAAAACCCACGTGCAGCAGGGAAGACCCAATGCAGCCAAAAATTAAATAAATGAATAAATAAATAAATTTATTTAAAAAAATAAAAGAAATGTGGCTAGGGGAAAAAAAAAGAATATTACTACTAAACACCATTTCCATTATACTTAATATCTTAAAAATTGTATAAGGATGATTTTCCTTAATTAAGTGAACTAATTTCCCATTCCAGAACTGTGAGAACACCAAAGGCTAACTGAGCTATCCGTTTACTTTCTTGGTTAGCCTCATTTTACCCCAAAGTGTTTCGGTGAGTCTGCAATATACAATCTTTACTACCTTTCTTTTGGCTTTTTTCTGAGCCCATTTCAAACAGGCACTCTGATGGCCCTGGTTTATAGTACCTCCCAGTACCTGAGGTTCTACTGACTACCCAAAGGCACACATCTGTCCCCTGAGCCACTCAGACACAAGCTCCACAGGGAGGTCATATCTGCACCACGCAACCAGTGGCTTGGCTTGAGGTGCTCTGGAATTACTTATTAAATGAATGAGTCCTCTATCATCAGAAGGGATGGCCAATCACTGATACACCCTACTGACGGCTGACCAAGATCGTGCATGGCTGCCTGTTAGACTGTCAACTGACTTTTAATTCCAACTACCAATCTAAATTCTTATTTATGAAGTGAAAAGAGAATGTTGTAACCTAGGCAATGCTTGGAGACTAGGAAAGACCTGTTAAGAAATTAGGTCCTTCGATAATCATATGTAATATTTATACTTAAGGTTAAGGAAAACCCAAAAGGTGCCTAAGCATTTATAAAAGATGTTTCATAAATCAAGGCTCCAAGGTACAAATCCTGTTACTTCCCAGCTGGCTCTGAGCCACTTCCCAAGCCCATAAAAATGAAAATATTTGAGTTATGTTCTGGAGGGTAGACCACAACAATGCTCTTCTGAGACCCAAGCAGTCCAGGAGATGGGCGGGGCACACTGAGAAAATCTAACTTGTTCTGGTCCAAAGTAATAGCTGACCAAATGGGCAACAGCTAAGGGAGCCAAGCCCAAGAACACTGGCTGTGAGGAGTGCTGTGTCCAACAGTGAGCATTCGAGGCGGTGGGGCCACTTACAGTTCAACCCGGTGAAACTGAACATTCCAATCTGCTCCGTGATATGGTTCCAGGTTCCAGGGGTCTTGAGGGCTTCTAATCGTGCCCTGAGCTCAGATCTCATGGTCAGAATGCGGTCAGCCATTGTCTTCACATTACCTGTCCTGAGTGGACAGCAATATGAATACCAATCCACACAGGAGAGATGGTACACAAAAACAGAAAAATTTTTTTAATGTAATTTAATCTGTAAGCTGAAAACATGATCACAACCTGCCTATTATGGTATGTGGATGCCTGGATGGGTGGATAAGGAGACCAGAGAGATAGACTTACTAGGCAGAAGGAAAGGACTTTATTTACTGATGGAGTTTATGGCTAGTCTTAGGTATACTGGCTGTAATACCACTTATGTTTTAACTCAGACTTCAGCTAGGTGCTGCTTGAGACAGGATAATATATTTTATCAGGTGTAATTAAGTAGAGATTACAGATTTAGCTACTACAAAAAAATTACTGTTTCAAAATAAGACGAAAAATATATAAATTAGATAAGAATGAAGAGCCCCAAAATTGTTGCACTAACTTGAAGTTAGATATTCTATTCTATCAGAAATTCATCCCTGTGTTTCCCAACTTTAAGGGGAAGAAGCCTGGGTGGTGGGAGAGTGGGGGAAACTCCCATTCACTGAGGGCCTCCTTCCTATGTTCCCAGTGCTCTGTTACACACATGTGTAAGTGTCAGCCCTATTTTACAGAAATAATAACTGACACTCAAAAGAGGTTCAAGTATTTTTGTCCTGCCTCTGCCAGCATAAAAGGAAGAGGCAGTTAAATGTAATGGGACAATCGCTGTTCTGCATCCCCACGCTTCGCCCATCGGCGTTGAGCCCCTTACCATTCATTAAAAAGCTCAGGGTCAGAGAGGGTATGGGCCACGATTCGTGCTCCCTGAGCAGGGGGATTGGACCACGTAATTCGCACTATCTTCTCCATCTGGGAAAGGACCCGGAGGATGCTATCAGGTTCTTTCGCAACCACGGTCAGATTCCCCACTCGCTCATCTAAAAGGAAGGAGGAAAATCAGCCTTGGGGCTCCGGGGGCGGCGAGGCTGGGGCAGCTGGGCTGTAACTCATGAGAGCACTCACTGTAGAGCCCGAAGTTCTTGGAGAAGGACTGGGCACAGAAGAGCTCGAACCCTTCAGACACAAAATAGCGAATGGCCCAGGCGTCTTTTTCCAGGTTGCCAGATGCGAAGCCCTGATAGGCTGAGTCAAAGAAGGGGAACAGAAACCGGCGCTGTGAGGAAGGAAAGTGAGTCAGGGCAGGAAATCCTCCTGGAACCAACCTCAGACACCGGCCTTCCTTCCCCAACTGGTGCCTGGAAGGAATGTCTCACCCTGTCCGTTTCTCCTACCTCTTTCCTTTCTGCATCCAACTCCACTTTACATCTGTTTCTCTGTTCACCTAAATACAAACCAACAAATCTAACTTCGGTAAACCTTATTTTTTTAAGTATATTGTCCTAGAGTGTCACGATGCTGCTTTGCCAACAAGGGCACATCTGATCATGTCACTCCGTGACATCAAAGATTTCCAGGGGCTCCCCACTGCCCTCAGAATAAAGTCCGAGGCTTCAGCACAGGACCTGGCCCCCATTTGCCTCTCTAGCCTCATCACTCACTCGCCCCCTCCCCTGGAACTCCAGCCCGTACCACGAATTACTTTTACTTCCTCATATGGACCATGACCTCTGCCTTGGGCTTTTGATGGTGCTCTTCCCTCTGCAGGAAACATTCCTTCCCTGCCAGCCCTGACCCATCCTCATCCTTCAAGTCTAAACACGGAAACCACTTCTTCCAGGAAGGCTTCCTCTGCTACCACCAGCCCTCCCAAAATGCACGCACTCCCCAGAGTCTGGGCTATGTGCCTCCATAGGACCCCATCAACACAGCTGTCTCACAGTACGTGGCTGTCTCCCCAAACCGGCTGTATGCTCTGAGGGCGGGACCACCTCTGCTTTGTTCACTATTGTCCCCCTATGGCACCTGGTACATAATAGTTTATCAAGAAGTATTCTTTAAACTTGTTAATGAAGAATATGTACACCTTGAGCTAGAAATTCCAGTGTAGAAAGTTATCCCAAAGAAATAATAAAAAGGAGGTTTAGGGGCTTCCCTGGTGGCGCAGTGGTTGGGAGTCCGCCTGCCGATGCAGGGGACACGGGTTCGTGCCCCGGTCCAGGAGGATCCCACATGCTGCGGAGCGGCTGGGCCTGTGGGCCATGGCCGCTGGGCCTGTGCGTCCGTAGTCTGTACTCCAAAACAGAAAAAAAGAGAAAACCGAGAAACACCCAAAAAAAAAAAAAAAAAAAAAAAAAGGAGATTTATTACATATATTGTTCACAAGAGTAAGAAACCTGGGCACGAAATGGCCATCAACTGATTTAATCAATCTGTACTGTGACATAGCCATGCATGTCATGTATAACTACACTAAAAAAAAATTAAAAAAGAAAAGAGCCTGACATTCTGTATATCAAAATGTTAACAGTGGCTTTCTTTGGGTAATAGAATTTATAGTTAGTACTTATTTTTTTCTTTGGGCTTTTCTCCATTTTTCCAAATTCTTCCGTAAATAGGTACTGCTGTTGAATACATCAAATATTAATACACACTATTTTAAGAGATGCTCTGAAAAGACAGTTACCTTCATGACAGAGGCAATCTGCTTCCACTGCTCCGGAGTTGGGTCAGTCCCAGTCGGGTTGTGTGCACAGGCGTGGAGGACAAAGATGGAGAACTCGGGAGCTTTCTGGGGAGAAGGAAGCTATGTAAGTTCTGACACCAGCAGGGACATGGGGGGCAGAGTCAGGGGCACAGAGGGCAGGTACTCCCTCCTTACGTGCCATTTCAGAAACCACCATCCGGCCTGAGTAGGGTGTCTCAGACTCTCTCACTTATCAACTGATCCAAAGACTTTTCCCTGCTCTTCTTGACGTCATAGCATTCTGTCTACTTTTTCTTCTAATAACCCACCTCCAGATCATTCAGAAAACCCTGGAGGTCTAGTCCTCTCTTCGCTGCATCCCAATAGTGATAAGACCGAATTTCTTTAAATCCAGCGGCAATAAAGACACCATTATGATTCTCTGCAAGCAAAGGGGTAAAATGTTAAATGTTTTACAAACACAAGGAGGCATGAACAGAAGGGACTCAAGGCAGCTTCCAGGGCCCTCACAGGCTCAACATCCACTGGGTGACATGGAGGTGAGGGGTTAAGATTGAGAGGAATGACTGTGACCAAGAACAAGTTTGACCAGTCTAGTCATGCTGACTTACATCCTACTACAGTGGGACCTCCCTCCTCTGGGAAGGCTCAATATACACTAAAACACAAGTTCACCAAGAGTCTTGGGATAAAGTAGTCCCAATCTGAATTTAAGCATCAGGTTACCCATGTACTACCATAATCCACTGCTCAAGCCATTCTCATGTTAGTTGATCCAGGGCTGGGTTACATTTTCAGTGTAAGCAGTGAGACTCATGAGGATAATTCCTTCCCTGCCGGCCCCGACCCTTCCTCATCCTTCATGTCTAAACACGGAAACCACTTCTTCCAGGAAGGCTTCCTCTGCTACCACCAGCCCTCCCAAAACACACACACTCCCCAGAGTCTGGGCTATGTGCCTCCATAGGACCCCATCAATATAGCTGTCTCACAGTATGTGAGAATGCCTCTGGCTTCTCTGTTTCTCCTCTCACTACAGCTACAGGACTCACCCCAGGTTGGTGAGGATACATAGACGGGCGTGTCCTTGTTGTTTGTTCCATTGTACCATCGCGCTAAGAACTCAGCTCCAATTCGAAGTGCACCTGTTCCCCCCAAACACTGCACACCTCCTACCTGAAAGAGAAGAAGCAGGATCACTGGTTATTTAATGGTGAGGTCAGATAATATTAGGGAAAATATGGTAATGATGAGCACTTCCTTAAATGTGTTATGTCTATAAAATGTCATAACTACATGAAAAAGTATTATTTGCCCATGTTTACAAACGAGGAAACTAAGGCTAAGAAGTGAAGCACCTTGCTCAAAGTTACCAGCTACTCAGCAGAAAGGTCAGGTCTTCACCCAGGAAGTCTGGAAGTCTGACCCCCAAAGGAGTGTCCCTCTGAACACAGAGGTGGAGGACATACCTAGGCCCTAGGACATACCTCGGGCACATTAGAGTGTGCCCTGCAAAGCAAACTCATCCCTTTGCACCCATCCCAAGATCAAAACTGCCCTCCAACAGAAGCCGGTAAAATAATGTTCTGAGCTTGCTATCATCAGTCTGCAATGCCCTTTCTCATCGCTATGACAAAGGCTTATTAATCCTTAGAAATGTTCTCACAGAACAAAGGTTATATGCAAATACTACTCTCCTCTCCTGAAGCTTCCTCTTATCTTAAAATGGCCTCACCTAGGCAATAATAAAAGTCCTACGTTTTACCATTTACAAAATACCTTCACACACATTCTTGTTTGACCCTCACACAGCCCTTCAAGTAAGTTCTAGATCCCCAATTTATACATGAGGAAATTGATTCAGAGAAGTGGTTCGCCAAGGGATTCGCAGCTGGTGAGCGGCAGAGCTGGGTATAAATCCAGGCCTTCTCACTCTACATCTAGTCACTAGGCCCTACTTCTGTTGTTCTGCCTTAACATCTTTGCTTTTGCCCCTTCACACTTCTAATTAGGTTTTAGCATAACTCTTTCAGTAGAGAAATGTCATTAATTACGTGTTGCTTAATATGTCTAAAGGAGAAAGAAAGAGAAAGATCACATAAGAATGTCTACTGAAAAGGAAGGACACACACCAATGTGATAACAGCAGCAACCTCTGGGGAGGGGCCTAGGATGTGGGAATAGTGGTCAAAGGGACTTTGGCCTAATCTACAAGTTGTTTTTTTAAAAAATAAGGAGAATGTATTCATGTATTATTTGGAAAATTTTTTAATAATTTAAAAAATATATTTAGATGTCTGTAATTTGCTATAAAATAATTCAGTTTTGGCAGGGAGGGTGGGGGAATATACAAGACTGACCAAATACAGATCATTGTTGAAGCTAGCTGATGGATCCATGGGGGTTTGTTCATTACAGTTTTAACTACTTTTGTATATATTTGAAATTTCCCACAATAAAGTAAAAAAAAAAATCTTCCTAAAGAAGAAAAGCTTCCAAAATCTTTAAAAAAAAAAACTAATGTCAACACCAATGCTGAAAGATGACAAAGGGAAAAAAAAGAGAAAAAAAGAGACCTCTTTCATGAATATTGATACTAACTTCCTAAATATTGATGAACAGTATTAATCCAACAGTGCATATAAAAATACTCCCTTGGTCAAGTTAGTCATCCCATGAATGCATGATTATTAACAAATATAGGAGTGAGTCAGTTTTCCTGGACCTCTCCCATGTATATGTGTTATTAAACTTTGATTTTCTCCTATTTTAAAAAAAAGAGAGAAGAAATATAAAATTTGTCATGCTGCTAGATAGAGAAAATGATCACTCAAATGATCATCATAACAGGAGAAAACAATATAGCTATTTCTGATATAAATGCTTGGTAAAAAAAGAAGCAATGAGACTTCCTAAAAATAACTAAAAAGAAAAAAAAATAAGATCCAGCCATGATGAGTAAGTCAGCTTCATGAAGAACACTGAATCACGAGCAGAAGTTCCCTTTAAGCTAGGAACTAGGCAATAATACCAATTATCACTATTATTCCCCACTGCTCTATTTACATTCAGAGATCTGAGCATCCGTGAAAGAACATCGCCTGAAACGTGAAACAGAAGCGAAGTTGACGTTCAGGAAAACGAGGAACTGAGCACGGCATCCACTGCAGAGAGGAGCAAAGGCAGTGGACTGGGATGGAAAAGGTCACTGTGCATCAGATGTGGTTCTTCAAAGTGGTCCCCCCCTGAGCACTGGTCCCTTCCCATTACTTTATTTTCTTTTTATTTTAATAATTTCATTCATTCATTTATTACAGTAGGTCCTTGTTGGTTATCTATTTTAAATATAGCAGTGTGTACCTGTTGCTTCCCATTACCTTAAAGGTTTGGGCTTTACATTGTGACCTACCTGGATTCCTTACGCAAATCTCGACCAAGGTGATGTAACCTAAATGTACATTCATTTTTTATGGATTTGTCATCAGTTAAGCTGAATGTCAACTTTATTCATTATTTCACATTTCAAATACCTCAGCACTTTGTATAGGAATGTTGATACTTCCTATACAAATGAGCAAGGTCTCCCTTAAAGCAGGGATTTAAAGTTATCATGGATATGTGACAGGTGCATGTGGATATCAGTAAAGACATTCCCAAGCATAGTTTTATATTTCCTGTGCTCAGCTTTTTTTTTGTTTTGGGGGGGTTTTTTTGTTTTGTTTTAATTAATTTATTCTTTTTTCTTATTAGTCATCCATTTTATACACATCAGTGTATACATGTCAATCCCAATCTCCTGATGCATCCCACCACCACCTCCGCCCCCACCACTTTCCCCCCTTGGTATCCATACGTATGTTCTCTACATCTGTGTCTCTATTTCTGCCCTGCAAACCGGTTCATCTGTACCATTTTCTAGGTTCCACATATATGCGTTAATACACGATATACGTTTTTCTCTTTCTGACTTACTTCACTCTGTATGACAGTCTCTAGATGCATCCACATCTCTACAAATGACCCAATTTCGTTCCTTTTTATGGCTGAGTAATACTCCATTGTATATATGTACCACATCTTCTTTATCCATTCATCTGTCGATGGGCATTTAGCTTGCTTCCATGGCCTGGCTATTGTAAATAGTGCTGCAATGAACATTGGGGTGCATGTGTCTTTTTGAATTATGGTTTTCTCAGGGTATATGCCCAGTAGTGGGATTGCTGGGTCATATGGTAATTCTAATTTTAGTTCTTTAAGGAACCTCCACACTGTTCTCCATAGTGGCTGTATCAATTTACATTCCCACCAACAGTGCAAGAGGGTTCCCTTTCCTCCACACCCTCTCCAGCATTTGTTGTTTGTAGATTTTCTGATGATGCCCATTCTAACTGGTGTGAGGTGATACCTCATTGTAGTTTAGATTTGCATTGCTCTAATAATTAGTGATGTTGAGCAGCTTTTCATGCTTTTTGGCCATCTGTATGTCTTCTTTGGAGAAATGTCTATTTAGATCTTCTGCCCATTTCCGGGTTGGGTTGTTTGTTTTTTTTACTATTGAGCTGCATGAGCTGTTTATATATTTTGGAGATTAATCCTCTGTCCGATGATTCATTTGCATATACTTTCTCCCATTCTGAGGGTTGTCTTTTTGTCTTGTTTATGGTTTACTTTGCTGTGCAAAAGCTTTTAAGTTTCATTAGGTCCCACTTGTTTATTTTTGTTTTTATTTCCATTACTCTAGGAGGTGGATCAAAAAAGATCTGTGATTTATGTCAAAGAGTGTTCTTCCTATGTTCTCCTCTAAGAGTTTTATAGTGTCCAGTCTTACAATTAGGTCTCTAATCCATTTTGAGTTTATTTTTGTGTATGGTGTTAGGGAGTGTTCTAATTTCATTCTTTTACATATACCTGTCCAGTTTTCCCAGCACCACTTATTGAAGAGACTGTCTTTTCTCCATTGTATATCCTTGCCTCCTTTGTCATAGATTACTTGACCATAGGTGCATGGGTTTATCTCTGGGCTTTCTATCCTGTTCCATTGATCTATATTTCTGTTTTTGTACCAGTTCCATATTGTCTTGATTACTATAGTATAGCTTTGTAGTATAGTCGGAAGTCAGGGAGTCTGACTCCTCCAGCTGCATTTTTTTCCCTCGAGACTGCTTTGGCTATTCGGCGTCTTTTGTATTGATTACTGTAGTATAGCTTTGTAGTATAGTCGGAAGTCAGGGAGTCTGATTCCTCCAGCTGCATTTTTTTCCCTCAAGACTGCTTTGGCTATTCAGGGTCTTTTGTATCTCCATACAAATTTTAAGATTTTTTGTTCTAGTTCTGTAGAAAACGCCATTGGTAATTTGATAGGGATTGCACTGAATCTGTAGATTTCTTTGGGGAGTATAGTCATTTTCACAATATTGATTCTTCCAATCCAAGAACATGGTATATCTCTCCATCTGTTGGTATCATCGTTAATTTCTTTCATCAGTGTCTTATAGTTTTCTGCATACAGGTCTTTTGTCTCCTTAGGTAGGTTTATTCCTAGGTATTTTATTCTTTTTGTTGCAATGGTAAATGGGAGTGTTTCCTTAATTTCCTTTTCAGATTTTTCATCATTAGTGTATAGGAATGCAAGAGATTTCTGTGGATTAATTTTGTATCCTGCAACTTTACCAAATTCATTGATTAGCTCTAGTAGTTTTCTGATGGCATCTTTAGGATTCTCTATGTATAGTATCATGTCATCTGCAAACAGTGACAGTTTTACTTCTTTTCCAATCTGTATTCCTTTTATTTCTTTTTCTTCTCTGATTGCTGTGGCTAGGACTTCCAAAACTATGTTGAATAATAGCGGCAAGAGTGGACATCCTTGTCTTGTTCCTGATCTTAGAGGAAATGCTTTCAGTTTTTCACCATTGAGAATGATGTTTGCCATGGGTTTGTCGTATATGGCCTTTATTATGTTGAGGTAGGTTCCCTCTATGCCCACTTTCTGGAGAGTTTTTATCATAAATGGGTGTTGAATTTTGTCAAAAGCTTTTTCTGCATCTATTGAGGTGATTGTATGGTTTTTCTTCTTCAATTTGTTAATATGGTGTATCACATTGATTGATTTGCATATATTGAAGAATCCTTGCATCCCTGGGATAAATCCCACTTGGTCATGGTGTGTATGATTC